ACACACACACACACACACACACACACACACACACACACACACACACACACACACACACACACACACACACAGAGATTAACACATAGTGACCCAGCGGCTTGTCAGGATTAATCTGGTGTAATGGGATCAGAAATCACCACCTTCTTCTCTCTAGCTTTTCTTTGTGTCTTCAAATGTCTTGGCTAGGATAGGTGTTCACATCAGTTAAAGCTTCTTCCATTGGTTTCTCTGTGGTGCCTCCTGGTTCCCTGCTCTCCTCAGGAGTTATTCAGTTTCAACCCTCCACCTGAAACAAAATCCTCTTTAAGAAAAGCTTCAAGTGGAAATGCTTCTTCCCTCAGCTTAAACCAGATTCACTCACAGAGAAGTGTTCTTCTCCTACTCCTCTGAGATGACTAAAGGTCTGTTTGATAAAGATTGTGATCCTCCAATTCTGGGTTCTGATTGATCCAGGATGTGTGTATGAACTGTTGCTGATCTGTGGTTTAGTTATAAAATTATATTTCTGATATGTAATCTGAGATAATTAAAACTTTCTTTTTGAGCACTGTTGGCCCTTACAGTAAATAATGTTCAGGTTTCATTTTTCCTCCATGCATTAATCCARTAGGTTCTGATTATGTTGCCTCACTTTCTTTAGCATCATCATTTATTTTGTTTTTATGGTCCATGTGAGACTAACTAACATCTTTGATACAAAACATTGTGGTAAGACTTCCTGTTGGGCAGGATCAGCCACCTACAAACCAATTTGAGAAAATGTTTGAACCACTGTAGGGGATTAAGGTATGAGCAGTTTTCATCCATCAGAGATGAAGACTTGGTACAGTGCCTTGCAAAAGTATTCAGCCCCCTTGAACTTTTCAAACTTTTGCCACATTTCAGGCTTCAAACATAAAGATATAAATTTTTAATTTTTTTGTGAAGAATCAACAACAAGTGGGACACAATTGTGAAGTGGAACAAAATTTATTGGATATTTTAAACTTGTTATGAGCAGATCAGAACATCTTCCACATGTTTGGTGTGTCTCCCAGGTGGCTTGTGGCAAACTTTAAATAAGACATTTTATGGATATCTTTGAGGAATGGCTTTCTTCTTGCCACCTTTCCATAAAGGTCAGATTTGAGCAGTGTACGACTGATTGTTGTCCTATGGACAGACTCTCCCACCTCAGCTGTAGATCTCTGCAGTTCATCCAGAGTGATCATGGTCCTCTTGGCTGTATCTCTGATCAGTCTTCTCCTTGTTCCAGATGAAYGTTTAGAGGGACAGACAGGTCTTGGTAGATATTCAGTGGTGTGATACTCCTTCCATTTCAATACGATCACTTGCACAGAGATCCTTAAGATGTTTAAAGCTTGGGACATGTTTTTATATCCAAATCTGGCTTTAAACTTCTCCATAACAGTATCTTGGACCTGCCTGGGGTGGTCCTTGGCCTTCATGATGCTCTCTGCACTTTAAACAGAACGATGAGACTATCACAGAGCAGGTGCATTTATACGACTTACCCTTGTGAAGGAGGTTTTGATCTCAATGGGTTTTATCTGGTTAAATGCAGAAACTTGATTACACACAGGTGGATTCTATTTATCATCATCAGTCATTTAGGACAACACTGGATCATTCAGAGATCCTCACTGAACTTCTGAAGTCAGTTTGCTGCACTGAAAGTAAAGGGGCCAAATCAGGGGCAGACTGGCATACTGGGAAAATCCCTGGTGAGCCGGTGGTTCACTGCAGTCTGTGAACCAGCCCACAAGCTGTGCCACCGGCCCCCCACCCTTTGTCTATGAGCTGAGCCACCAGCCCAGATGCAGGACAGAGGTCTGGTGGTTCAGTCCGTCAACCAGCCCCCAGCCTGAAGTAAATCACTGGCCTCCTGGGCGCGGTGCATCTGCACAGGGCGAGCACAACATCAAGAAGTGACAGGTTGACAATGACTTCTCTACTTCTCCTCAGCAAGTCAGGCCGATCTTACCGCACAGCTGGTTTGTGCTGCAGGGCGCCACCTGAGCTGATGATGAAGAACAGAGATCAGAAAAACTAGTCCTAATAACCACGGGCAGGATACTAAAACAAACGGTGGTGCTTATTAAAAACTAAACACTCAGAAAATAAGAAATGCCTTGTCCCTATTAGTGGTGCATAAAGTCAATCTCTGTCTCTGTCATCCAGCAGAGAGATGCACAGTGCAGCAGCTCTAATGGGGCCAAGCAGATTTGATCAGAAAACTTCTGCCACAAAGCTCAGCCTGACAACAAATCAGCTCTGTGCTTACTAATAATGCAGAAGACAAATTTGAAAAGTCTTGTCCCAGCTAGATCTAACAGAGATGAGCCGTGCTACAACTTGTCATTTCATTGTGTAACATCCCCTGTCAATCACCAGGGGCACAACAAGTGGGGGTGGCCATGAGGGGCTGTGCCCCACCAGTTTKATCCTCTTGAGTCCCAAACTTTGTGCTTATTTAAATCTTTCCTAGCTATATGAGATTAGTAGAACCTTATAAATATAAAATGTTAAAATAGTTCCTCTGAATAAAGACAACTAGTATAAAATAAGTGTCCTCAATATCAGGATGAAGCTTTTCCTGGATGTAATATTAGATAGATAGATAGTTGGATGTAATATTTCTAGTTACTTCTCGTGGCGCCGCGGGAGTGGCAGCCTGTTACAGCAGCTCTTGCTCTCTGTGAGCTTCTTTCTCTNATTCTTATGGAGAAGATATTGATGGACTCACACACTTCATAACAGATTATGTCAATTTCTGTGTGGAGAATACCGTACCCACAAGGACTGTCCGGTGTTTCTCCAACAATAAACCCTGGATTAATCCTGATATAAAGGCCCTCTTGAAGGAGAAGAAGAGGGCTTTTGGGTCAGGAAACAAAGAGGAGATGAAAGCTGTGCAGAGAGAGCTGAGGAGAAAGATCCGAGATGGCAAGGAGAGCTACAGAAAGAAAATGGAGGTCCAGCTGCAGGAGAATAATGTCAGCGGAGTCTGGAACAGCCTTAAAGCTATTTCTGGCCACAAGAAGCCCGACTCCCAGGATTGTGGGGATTGGAAGTGGGTGAATGAACTCAATGTATTTTTCAATAGGTTTGATCACTCTACTGCTCCCCCCACTACTCAGGCAGCATTGCTGACACCCTCCTGCCTGGCAAGACCATCACGCTTTCCTCTCCCCTCTCCCATACTCACCCCCCTTCCTCTCCATACACAGCTGCCTCCAAACATCTCCCCTGTAGACATACGTTCCAGCACAACCACCCCACCCCTCCAGTCC